AAGGCACCCTCTACGGCATGATATTGTGAGCGAAAAGGTGGTACGTAATAGATAGCTTATAAAAGTAGTTAGTGATATCTATTTCAACCATGATGCTCACCAAAAATTGGACCGGTAGGTTGGATGGTTTAAAACTAGTGGTAGGATTTCCATCCCCTAGATAGGTCCCTCTAAAAATATGAACCCACTTCAAGAGTGGCGCTTGTATCGCTGGGGCATTAAGAGTAGAATAGGTTAGCATTAAGCTGTAGTCTAGCATTACAGAAGATGTTTGATGTAATTGTGATATCGTATATACAGTATATCAATAAACAATGGCATCTAATGTCCGTTCTACTAAAAAAAAAAAAAAAAAAAACTTATTTAAATAAATAATATTATATACAGTATATACAATATTAATATATTAATTATTTTGTAGTTTTTTTAAACCTTTTCTTAATAAAATAATAAAAAAGATTATTTAAGATATAAAAAAAAATAAAATTTATTTATAGAAAAATTAATTAAAAAAATATGATTTATTTTTTTTTAAAGTGTTAAGTATAGTAACTGCAATTGTCTTTATTAATAAATACCTTATATCAAGTTTATATTATAGCTGAGAACTTATACAAGCCAATATATTATATATTCTACATAAATTATTCCTTATATTTTATTTTATTTCTAATATATAGAAACCTATTATACTAAATAATTTATTATTTTTAATAATTTCTTTAGTGATATTAGGAGTATAAAAATCTTATTACTAGTTTTTAAACTACCTAACCTATTGATCCAATAACTTGTCTTTAAGAAGTTTTGATTAGAAGTATTGATTCAAGTATCTTTTTACCTTATTGCTTAAACTTCAAATCACAAATTTACAGTATATTAATTTTGAATTTATATAAACCATAATTCTTTTTATTACTTGTAGCTAATATAACTATTTAAGTTTTATATTGAATTGAAATATATCAAGCTAGGGCTTTAACTATTATTGAAGAATATCAAATATATTTATTAAGATGGAATATAATTTAATTTGTATATTTAAATATATTGTTGTAAAAGTTAATAAGGATTAGTTAAGATGGAATACAATTCAGTCTATATATTTAAATATGAAATCTCAGTTATTTAATAATTATTATAGCATTAATCAAATAATCATTGTAATACTATATTCTTTATAAAGGAATTACAATTTCAATACCTATTAAATTAACATATAAACAGACTTTTTATAAGAAACAATATTTAACAAATTATAGTATCAAATATTATATTAATACTATTTAATTGTCTTCATCTAAAGTTGAACTAGTATCTTATAATCTGAATCTAGAAATACTGACTACTATACTATTGATCTATAGATTTAAAAAAATATATTTATAAAATTAATAGTTAAATATTTTTTATATTAATATATATGACTTCAAAAATATTAAATTAATATTGAACTAGTATTGAAATAATATCTATCTATAATAAATTTAATATATGTATTATAACTTATTTATATAAATTTATAATAAAATTAAGTATCGAACTGATATTAAAGAGGTACTATTAGAAGCTCTACAAATATAATAATTAAAAAATCAAAATTAAATTATATCTTTATTTTTTTAAACTTGATTAATCAAGTTATTTTTTATAAAATAAACATATTAAGAAGGAAAATCAATTAATTAAATAATATAAATAAAAGAAAAGCAGAATTTTAAAAAAGAAGTTTATTAAGATTTTAAAAAATTAATATAAATATTAATTAAAATACAAATATAAATCAAATTATCTTTATCAAAAGATTATATATAATAAAGAAAATAAATATTTTTCTACAAAATATATTAATAGTAAGTCTCTAATACTTTGAAAATATATTATTAATCTATAACTATTAATTGTATAAGATATAAAAAATATAATATTTGTGATATAATGGAAAATTATTATACTTGAATAATTAAAGATATAAAAAGATATATAAAAAAAAAGAAAATTTTTGTTTTGTAACTAATTGTCCGGAGCGAAGAGAAGGACTATACGGTTCAGACAGGGTGGTCGTTTACATCTTGTTCTAGTCGTTACGTAATACGCGCAATAACCTAATAAATAGAGTACGTAATTAACTTAATAATAGAGCGCGTAATTAGCAAACGAACCTAATAGAGCGCATAATTAACGAATAAATCTAATAGAGCGCGTAATTAACAAATGAACCTAATAGAGCGTATAATCAATAGAATAATGTGTTGTAATAAATAAACATATAACATATATATTTACGAACGTTGTGTGTTATAATAAAATAAACTATATACAAAAATAAACTATACAAACTATGTGCAAAGTGCGCATCATTCTCCGACCTTACGAACCCATCTAGTATTGAATTAAACTTTTCCAACAGAATTAATAGAGAAATGGCCGTTATCGTTTTCTGACGTTATTTCAATATGAACTTATCCTATCCGGTATTGTAATAAACTTTTTCGACAGAATTCATCTTTATTTTTTTAATGAAGCGAGAACACGAGTTCTTAGAAGAACATAATATTTGCCTCAAGAGAAGACGTGAAAGAAATCAGCTGCGCCGGGAACAAGAGACTTTGGATGAACGTGATACTTTAAATTAATAATAATAATAATAAACAATATAAAAAAAAATATAATATTCAAATCGCTCCAGATGTATAACGGTTTCCGTTTCCCTAGTTATATTAATAAACAGAATTTTCTTAAATAGTAGTATAAAAAAAAAACATAAATAGAAAGCATTAGCAAAGAACATTATTAAAGAAACTTGATATTAACAATGCTGAAATCTTAATGTTGATATAGTAATTAATATTGTATAAAATATGATAGTAAATGTTTTTTACAAAATATATTAATATAAATACTTTAATATATTGAAAATACATCAAAAAACATGAATGGACTACACCTCTTGCTAGTATAAAGAATAAGAGTCAGTAGTGTCAACAATGTGCTGGTAATGTTTCTTATAGTCTTATAAAAGCTAAAGAAATTGTCTTTCTATGAAATATATAAATCTTTGTATTCTAATACAATAGATATATAATAAAGAGTATAAATAGCTTGCGAGTTTTAATTATATAAAACATACAAAAACATATTATTCACATTGTTTAAACAAAATAAAAAGCTATGCCAGGTCATTAGAATAAATATTCTTGACCTACTCTTTGATATTTACTGGTTAGATTTCTTGAAAATATCAGAGCATTCTTGAGTATTAGATTTTGATATTTATTATCCACAGTATGGATTTGCTATAGAATTGCAGAAGCAATATCATGAAAAATATATCGAATTCTTTAATAAAGAAGATCCCAATAATTTTATCAAACAACAGGCACGAGATCAACTCAAGAAAAAATTGTGCGAAGAAAAAGCTTAGTTAAAAATCACCTGATTTGTTGTCGATCCTTGAAATTAAATTACCATATGATAAATCGCTAACGAATATTATTATATCTGATTAATTTTGCCAGAGGCAAGTTGCTTCCGGGAACTTTAAAGAAAATTAGTTCCCGAAAGCAACTTGCCTCTGGCAAAATTAATCAGATATAATCATATTCGTTAGCGATTTATCATATGATCGATTGTAATTTCATATGGAACGTTAATTAATGAAATTTCAAGAATCGACAACCAATCAGGTGGATTATTAACTATGAGGACCCATATATAGTTATTCCAGAGATTTGGGTCTTATTGAGTAAACAAAATTTCAATGCTTTTGCAATCCATTTATTTTATTCAAAATCTTTGCATCAAATCATTAAGAAAAAATTTGCACTATACAATTAGATAATCATATTTTATTTAATAAAAAATTCAAAGTTAGATGTGACAGATCTTTATTAATTTTTTATTGATGCAGAATTACATGAATCTAAAGCTATTATTTTATTTTCAGAATTTTGATTTGAACCGTTTATTATCTTTCCTCTTTTTTTCAGGAGTTGATATGCAAATAGTTAACTGACGCTGATCATGATTATATTTTCGTTTTTTTAATCCTGCATCAATGAAAGATCTCTTGTCTTGATTTTCTTTCGAGTTTATTATAGTTTTGAAGGTTTCCTGAATTCGACTCTAAATTTATAAAAAAACAGATGAAAAATATATAATATGATCGGCAAATAGCATTAATCTAACCTTTAAATTGAGAACCGATGCTAATATGGTTAGAATAGATGAAAATTTTTCCGGTGTATCCGGTACCTCCATTAATTCACTGCGACGAATCCTACAAATATATCCCTTGGGGTTGTCGAGATAAAGCATTACCATCATTAACCCTAATATTAAGATATTATTTAATGATAAAAGATAGATTTTTTGCAAAATTAATTAGATACATGAATGAAAAACATACCGGCATGGATAATTCCAACCGTTTGAATTTTGTCACATTTTGCTGGGTTCCATTTAACCTTTTCCATCAACTTCATCATCATATCTTTTAAATTCTTCGGAAGTTTTAAACCAGCTTCCTTTAAAAACTTAGTACCATATTTATCTTTCCAGTTTTTTCCCACTTCACCAGCCCCAAATTCATCATTATCACCTTTACCAGTTGATCTTAATATCCAATCTCCTCTATGACCCATTCTACGATATGTACCTAATTTCCTATTTTTGTTTTTTCGAATGGAACTGGCAATTCCCGAACTTTCCCCTCTTGGTTTGTCAATAAAATTGTCAGTTCCGCCAAAACAAGCTATTCAACAGACAAATAAAATTAAAATCAACTTTACCTGACAACTGACATAATCTTCACGTTTCCAAATGCTTGATCAAATATAAAATTCCAAATGTGAACATTAAACCACGCTTCGAGGTTGTCGTTATATAATTTCCCACTCTCTATTTCTCGAACCCTGTAAAATAATTTTTATGTTAGTATCAATTCAGAAATCACAAGAAAAATTATCAAAGTCGCAAGTATTACTTACAAAGCATGTATAGCAAATATAATATAATCAACATCGTGATCTTTTTCAAAATTATATTTATCATCAAAGCTAATTTCTCTGATGATTTTTCTGATTTCATTTAAATTAGTCTGCCAGAGAAAAAGTTCATAAACTATTGAAATACAAGTACATCTGTCAATGAGCAAATAATTAAGATATATAGGATATTATTTACCTTGTCAACAAATTTACATAAACAATCTGTTACATTTTCAGCCAATTCAGGAATGACGGGACCCGGTGTCTGATCTATTTCCTCCATTTCTTCTTTGCTAAAATGATTCATCACAACTTCATCATCAATGTCCAATATGAAAGAATGTATTGCACTAGAAATATAAAACTCTGGTTAAGATTTTCGTATCATAATTACCAAACTGAGATGCAATTTGTATGCCTACTGCTCGTAGTCTAGCTTCTTTCCTAGCTCGTATAATTCCTCTTCCACATAACGGCCAGATGACAATTCCCACATTTTATCTTTAGCCATCGAATTAAAATTATCATTTATTTCTTTCCTTTGCTTTTCTTGCAGAGGAATTTCGCTAATCTATGAGTGCATCATAAAAAGGCTTTTATAGTAAAATCTTCTCAAAGCATCAAAATTGGAATCTACAAAAAGATTACCTTTTTCTTGCTATCCTCATCAACTACATTGTCTCTGTAAACCTCATCATCAGAACTATTTTTATCCTCATCAACTTCATTGGAGGTGTAATTTTCATCATCAGTACTCTTGTTATCCTCATCAACTTCATCATCAGAACTATTTTTATCCTCATCAACTTCATTGGAGGTGTAATTTTCGTCATCAGTACTCTTGTTATCCTCATCAACTTCATCGTCAATGTAATTTTTATCATCAGTAGTCTTTTTATATAATAACCGATGGTGCTCTGCTTTCCTAATACTTGCTAACTCGCATGGAGATATATTACCTTCCTCGTCACTAGTACTTTCGGGATTATCATTCTGGACATCGTGTGGAGCTTGGCTGTCTTCATTTGGTAAGAAACCACGTGAAATAATGGAACGAGCTCTTTGTGAACGTTCAACATATTCTTCGGAAGAGATGACTACAGCCTGCGTCTGTAGTTGTTTGACTGCAATTTTCCGTCGTTTATCGATATTTGTCTGAATGCATTGAATGAGTCAATTTTCGTTATTTGTACATAAACTATACTTTTTGAAACTTACAATGGTTCGGGAAAGAAGTTTTGAGTTTTTTCTTAAATTTTTCTTCATTAAGGCGACGCGCGACTACGATATGTTCACGTGAAAGCAGGGACACTCAAAAAATATAGTCAAAAATATCGATTTCGATATACCTAATCGTCCAATCAGAATGCAGGATTAGGTGTAATGTCCCAAAAAAATTTTTTTATTATAGTACGATGATTATTGATCGTAATACATAATCGTAAGAGCACGAAGTGATTCTTTACTTAGATATACCTTGAGGCATTTTATTGTTCTGAACGACCTCAAAAAATATATATTTATATTCTTTTTTTTTTAAAAGAAAAAAAAAAATTCGTTGAAAAAACTTTTATAATGATTCACAATTAAGTTTTGGCCAGCACTATTTATAATTCTGGCCGCCAATATTGTGTAATGTTACACTACAGAAAGGTTTGTAAGACTCTATATAAATTAACCTAGTGATCATCACAATATCACATGACATTCATCCGGCCTATGATAGTTTAGAAATATAGTTTAGGCTGGGTTAACTGTTTTTCTTAACGTTAAACTCAATCAAGACACCATACTCCTTCTAATGTAAGGCAAGTAGTCTAAGGCGAACGCCGGATGCCATGCGCACTGATAGCGAGATCATGGTTATCCTAATAGAAGAGGGTGTACCCCTCTATGTAGGGCAAGTAGTCTGAAGCCAAGCTAATTGGTTCAGCAAAGGCGAACGCTGGATGCTATGCACTCATGGTTATCCTAATAGAAGAGGGTGTATGGACGCTGTCCCTCTTGTATGGCAAGTACACCTGATACCCAGAAGGGTCGGGTAGAAAGTTGGATGCAATATCTTTTTTGTTATCCTAATAAGCGGGATACGTAGTCTTGTAAACAGATTATTTAATATACTCCGATCATTAGCACTTACGAAACACGAAGGTTATATTTTATTTCAGAAGAAATGGCACTTTGTGAGCATTGGTAAACATTGATTTTATTAGTTATATGGATCAAGTTATTTTACAATACATAATCTAAGTAAATTTATTCGTTACAAGAAAAAAATTTTTTATCAGTAAGAAAACTAAAAAATATTGATACATACTGTATATACAATTTGCGCGTTACTTCGTCGTTTTATGAAATGTCATCCAGCCGGATCCAATGGATAAGGATTCTAAATGAGAAGGTAAAAAGTCGTTAGGTTTTAAGTATTTATAATACTCGTTGGCTTAATATAGTGTTTAGACTTAAGTCGGACAAAGAGACAACCGAAAATCAGTAATTGCATAGTATAAGTATTTACTTTTTAAGTTGGTAAATTCATTTTATTTAGATTTATTACCAAGTACTAACATGATTCATTTCATTTAAAAAGGCCATATGCACTTTTTGAATTTTATCTAATTCTATTTCTTCTGTAGTCGAATGATCCTGATCCTCCTCTTGAGCTTCCTTGCCATTATTCATATCTTCTTTTTCTTCAGCAGTTAAGACATTTGGGTCCTTTTTCTAGCCGATTTACTAAAGGTTTCACATTGTTATATATTTCGCGTTTGTAATATTCTACACAATGACAACCAAATTCCATTTTTTGATAACATAGGAAATGGCACCCATGCCCGCAGATAAGTAATATACTTAATATTTAAATCTAAATAAGTTTTATTTATTTTAATAGATTTAAATTACAAATAAATTAAATATTTTTATTTTCGAATAATATTTATAATTTGAATTTTATCTTCATAAATGTAATTTGTAATTAAGCTTGGTTAACTAATCTTATTTTAAGAAATTTTTTAAAAAAACCTCATCATAACAAAAATAAATAAAAATTTAAAATTTAAAAATCAACAAATTAATATATAGTAGTGGCAGAAAAAAATGACAATTTTCTTTTATTTGTAAAAAATTATATTATGAAAATTTTTTTTTTTTTTTTTTTTAAGGTGAATGGGCACTTAATGCCATGGTTTTTATTGAATCTTATATTCGAACCATATATTGCAGTCTTATACATGCTAATATTACTACTAACTGTAAGTTTAACCATTATCAGTCCATCTTACTTAATCCAGATTAGTGCTCGACACAATCAAATAATTATTTGATAGTCAAATACTTAGTAAATATTTGACGATTACCGATTTTCAAATCAAGTAATGCATAATTTCGATCTAATAAGCTTTGCATATCAAAATCGATATAAGCTTATTGTACTTTTGACCCTTAACTTATAGCGAGAATAGATTTTTTAGATCCCTAGGTTTGAATTTTTTATATTGCATCAGTTATAAAAAATTTAAAAGCTTAGAATATTTTTATTATAGAACACTAGATC